TTCTAATTTTGTTTTTCAATGAAATTAAATTAATGAATTTACTAATTAGTTGGTAGATGAACTAGTAGTTGCTTTCCTTCCATGCACCATATTCTTCTTCTTCATCAGTTTCTTCCTGTAATGAAAGAAAGCATTGATAAAACTTAATCACTAACATGATATAGTGAAAATTAATTGAAGAGCAATTAATTATTTGATCAAATTAATTTCATAGAGTTTGAGAGATTATTTCATAAGTTACCTTTGCAGTAAAAGTAACTCCAACTTGAATTTCTCCGCAATAAGTTTTATCGGTGAAGACAACTCTGTATTTTTGAGGACGAAGCTCAGCCTTTCCTTTCTCGAGTCCTAATTCTATAAGTTCTTTCACGTAGATCCTGCATGCATATACGTTACCATAAGTTACATATGACTAAATAAGAAACAAAACTAGGCAATTAAATAAGAGATGTGTTTGATAAATTTTGTATTATCTTACGTTGCTTGGCCAAGATAGTCATCTGCAGTGAATGTGTCGTAAGCCATGATTTTAAGCACGAGTTTATACTGCTCATCAGCCATGGGATAATCAACTCTAAACTCAAAATTTTCATTCCATATAGGGTTGCGACCTTGCCCTAAAATATGATAGAAATTAAAATATCATTAATTATTAATTCTATATAATAATTCATTCTTTATTGTTGGAGTGTTGTGATCTCCTCGTTCTTGATTTCATGTTACATACTCTAATCTATGTTTATCATCGTAAATTTATGTTTATTATATTTGATTGCTTGTAATTTACACATTAAACCAGGTCAAATCAAAATTAATTTCCGTGCAAGTAAATTCCTTGAACATGTTGACAAGTAATGCATTCCTCTGACTCGAAAGAGCAAACCAAGTTGTTCAAAAGTCAATGGTTTTTATACTCATTTTATTTATAATAGAAATTATCTTTTAATGTAGAGAGATTTTTATTTATTTTTTCATTTTTTTTTACTTCAATAATACTCTTTATTTTGACTCTTCATTTTGTTTTCTCAAGAAATATATTGATTTCTCTTCACATTTTATTTAATATTTTTTT